TGACTAACAGATCGACAAATGAGCGTGTAATTTCTTCATGAGCCGAGTGGGTCCCGATGTGGGTGCCAACTAATGTAAATGCGACTGTTCTAATCCTCTCCAAACATGAAGGATTAAAAATTTAGGCACATGCCGAGCCCCCGTAACGTGAATATAGTAATTTACATCAACATGTCAGTTACAATTCCACATTTTGTCTCATGTTTTTGCTTTGTGGTAATTTATTTATTGAACTATTATGTTTTTGCTTTATTTTGTTTTTGTTCATGGTGAAAACGTATTCATTCAACATCTTGCTCACTTGTTTAAAAATGTGATTCTGGTCAACTACAGACATTGACCTGAGACAAACCTCTAGCACCTTCTATGGGTCAATGAAATCAGCATTTTGAATCGCAAATTTTTATCTGTTAGTAAGTAATTGGTGAGTGCCATAATGGAAAGTTGCAAATGTAAACTTGCTATGTATGATATTAAAAGTTCATTAATTAATCAAGTTGACTTATATGTGTTGTATTCAAATTCTTATTTAATTTAATTTAATGCTTCTTAAATAAATAACTGTATATTATGTTCTCAGATCTTTGAAACACTTGGGACACTATCATCCAGACTTGACATTAACATTGGTTCCTGATCTCTTAGGAACTCATCCATATTTTGATATTCCAGAACCTGACATGGAAGATCCCGCATGTATCCTTTGATACTGAACAACGTCTATTGTCTTATCATGTACTTTTTGTCTCGGAAGCATATTCATTGTTATTTGCTTTTATATCCAGTTAATTTTTCCCTTAAATGGTTTATTGTTCAGATATAGCAGTGATGATTTTAATATTCAATTCAGCAATTAAAAGTCCCACAATGGTGGCTTTATTTCCACAGTATGCTGTACGTCACTACTCTTATCTCCGAGACAGTCTACCTGATTTAGTTCCATCATTGAAGGTAAAAACTCTATGAATACACAAAAACTCTCTGAATACTCAAAAACTCTATGAATACACAAAAACTCTCTGAATACTCAAAAACTCTATGAATACACAAAAACTCTCTGAATACTCAAAAACTCTATGAATACACAAAAACTCTCTGAATACACAAAAACTCTCTGAATACACAAACACTCTCTGAATACACAAACACTCTCTGAATACACAAAAACTCTCTGAATACTCAAAAACTCTATGAATACACAAAAACTCTCTGAATACTCAAAAACTCTATGAATACACAAAAACTCTCTGAATACTCAAAAACTCTATGAATACACAAACACTCTCTGAATACACAAAAACTCTGAATACACAAAGACTCTCTGAATACACAAAAACTCTCTGAATACACTAAAACTCTCTGAATACTCAAAAACTCTCTGAATACTCAAAAACTCTGACTACGCAAAAACTCTCTGAATACTCAAAAACTCTCTGAATACTCAAAAACTCTCTGAATACACA